CTGCTAGGGGCCCTGCGTGCCCACGAAAGTAATGGAAAATGTATCATGCAGTGAAAATTGAATTGGAAAATTTGTATGCTCAATAACAATAGGTACTCGTATTACTGGGTTTTAGCGACGCATGCTGTCAGTTGATGAAATAGTACATAATTTCAGTGCAGAATCATCTAGTATCGATTAGTAAAACTAATAATATGGATGCGTTACGTTAAAAAGTTTTACTCTCCTCTGTGTTTTAAAACTTACGAATTTGGATATAAGAGTGCTATATGTTATACTTAAAGTATAAGCATTAAGTCGGAACGCAGCTGGTGAGCAGTCGGCTGAGTGAGTACTAGACTTCATTCGAATTGTGGGAACCCCTGAAACCCGATATATTACTTTCCTCTATGCCCGAAACTTTGGATGCAGTACGTAGCAATTTGTGCGTGAGTGTGAATTTTGTTTAAAAAGTTTTAATGTACTCTGTGTTTTAAAACATCCAAATTGGGATAAGAATGCTAGATTTTTTTTAATAAAAACTGCCAGTGCCTTCATAAAATCAGCGAGACGAATAGCAAGTGAAAGATACTTAAATTGAAGTAACTACTATTACCAGGTAAGTTTGATAATTGATTGCGAGATTTTATTGTACATAATTACGAGTATTTATTTAATCTCATATTATAAATTCGAAATTATTACTATTCCTCTCGCATCGTTTTTCATTCACACGATTGTTTAACTTTTAACTTAAAGTTAAAAAATGTCGAGTAACCTGTAAAGAAAAAACACCTATAAGTGGTTAAAAAAAAGCGGCTTGAACAATAAAATAAGCTCGACAAAATATTAAAAAAGATAAAAACCTTTTCCAACTCAGATTTAGTCGCCAATAAACGGAAAATCAACCTTCTCCAAGTACGTCTTCTAGCCAAACTATGGCGGTAGACCCAGTAAAGATTCCTTGTGAGTATTATGAACAGACTGACCAAGATCAAGAAAAAGATCGAGGTTCATTACTACATCAAAACGTAGTCCACCTAGAAGTAGAATTCCAGAATTAAATTGGCGTATGACAAAATATTACCAACGAAATAAAAAGTTTTTATGTGTACTAGAGATCCTAACGAATGTCAACACTTTGAGTGTGATTTTTCTGCTTCAAGCCGACAATATCGCGATAGTAAAAGATTTTTTTTCTATCTATGTTTTTACGAAACATATAAGTGATGGTAAAATTAAACGAGAGTGACTCATGTATTCTCTATGTGCCAGAAAAGTATACTGTTTTACATGTTCTTTTTGAAGATCAAATCCAATCGCAATTTCAAGCTAGATTTTCTGATTGGAAAAATGCGTCGTAAAGAATTCAATCCCATGAGAATAATGTAACTGTAAAGGCAATTATCCAGAAATATCTCCAAAAAGGTTTAAAGCTGAAAGTTCGACACAAAGTGGTGTGCAAGAGCCGATTCGACTAAGGCGTTGTTAGAAGGTCACAAGAGTTTTAAGAAAACTTTGCAGTCTATTGCTGACGATGAAACTAAGACATAGCGAGCTATTTATGAGGCTCGATGTCTATTAAAAGACTCTTATTTTTTGTTATTTGTTGACTCTTATTTGTTGTTGGGGTACAGCACAGGGTTCGATACTGGGCCCGACTGAGTACTTGCTATTCGTAAATGATATGGTTAATGCAATAACTAAGGGTTCTATATATCAATTTGCCGATGACACCTGTATCGTTATTGCCGATCGTAGTATGGATGTAGCACAAACTGAAATGCAGGCAAGCTATGACATGCTATGCAAGTGGCCACATGATGTCGGCCTAGTGGTTAACGCTCAAAAAACAAAACTTGTTCATATACACTCATCTCACAACAAAATTACCACTGCACCGACTATCATTTCCCATGGCCATGAATGTCTCCACGGAATGTTTCAACACTGTACTTGTCAACCCATTGAAAATGCCAAAAATCACATGTATATTTGTCTGATTATTGACGAACGATTTTGCTGGAGAGCGCATAAAGATCACAACATTTTAGACTGCCATATTGGATCGAATCAATGGTGTCAGTATATCTTTACAAAAACCAACTATTGAACCTCGAACTGCAGTTGATCTTTTAAAGTCGCTTTTCGATTTTTTGCTATCATAGCGAGAATTATTTGATGATTACGAGATGAAGGTAAGTGAGAAATCTGATACCGTATACTGTGATGAAAATCAGCGTGTGAAAAGAAGAAAAAGGCATCACGATGACGGATCGATTGATGATTTATGACGATTGAATTTGTGGTCAGAGGTAAAGATAGGTTGAAGATTAAAACATTTTTGCCTGTACTAGACATGCTGTATGTAGAATTGTTGCGGCGACTAGAAGCTTACCGGGAAATTATTTCTCTGTTTGGATTTCTAACAGATTTCATGAAAAAAAAACAACGATGAAATTAAAGAGGCTTGTACAAAATTAAGTGAACATTATTCCGAGGACATTTAGCACGAGTTTATAAATGAGACGGTACAGTTCAAGTACTTTATCTTACAATTAGAGGATGCGGGGATTGCGGGAAAAGATAAAATTGTACCTGCTGAGAAATTGCTTACATAAATTTTTGACAATATGGTACAATAAATATTATATTATAAATCAGTTTAAAGATATCAAACGAAATGGATGAATGTAACTTTTCAAAATTAATAAAAAACGTGTCGTCGTTCGTCACTGTCTCAGAACCGTTCAAATTCATTGTCTATAATGGCGATTGAAAATGATGTATTGGAAAAGGTCAACTTTCAAGATGTTATGAATGATTTTGTATCCAAAAAAGTTAATATTTAAACTTAATGCACCTACTTCTCAAAACTATTTTCTTTCGTTCATTGTTTTTAATTTCATTTAACAAGAATAAAGTTAAAATTAGACTACGGTACAGTTTCTTTACTTATGTGTTTAGACACTCGTTTCAAAATCGTTTTCTTCCGTTTATTATATTTTATTGTATTAAGCAATAATAAAATTATAACACCCGCGTCTTATTTTTCTTTCCTACTCCATCATAGGACCTTTAGACGGTCTTATCTCATATACATACTATACCCAATGAGACGTTTATCATCACTTATCTATAACCTATTCATTAAGACAATTTCAAATTGACTGAAGTTCCTGAGGAGTTAAGCATAATTCCGCTGACACAGCTAATGCTATTACTCACAGAGAATTGCATTGCCTAAGGGCCTCGACATGTTTAATCCGGCCCTGTCTGGATGACATTATTATTATTATTTTGGGGTATCTATAAAGTTTTCTCATCTGGTTGGGCAGTATAAATATATAATTGTAAATGAAAATGGTAAACATACATAAATATGAATAAAATAAAATAAATACATAAAAAATACATAAATATATAAAAACCCAACCAGATGGAAGCCCTCGGCAGGGGAGAACAGACGGCCGAGGGTTAGGGGGAAAGGGAAAGAAACCGGCGGACGATGCGGGCGGTATCGAGGAGCACCGCCTTCTGCATTTGAGCCTGGAGCGGTCCGTCACGGAGTCCCAGTCGCCTCAGATAACCCGGGAGGCTGACTGGAATTAACCCGTTCGCAGAAACGACCACAGGAATAATTTCGGTCGGCAGACCACCCCACATGCCGGTAACCTCGTGAGCCAGGTCCAGATATTTTGTCACCTTATCTGTTTCGGCTTTCACGAGGTTCTCGTCATAAGGAATCGTAATGTCGACCAAAAAGATGCTTGACTGTGCCCGGTCCATCAGCACAATATCAGGCTTATTCGCAAGAATAGTTCTATCTGTGATGATGGCCCGGTCCCAGTAGAGCCTGGCGCGGTCATTTTCGAGCACGGCTTCCGGCAAGTACTTATAATACGGCAGTTTCCGATCCACGAGGCCGTATTTCAGAGCGAGCTCCTGGTGTAGAATCCTGGCTACTAGATTGTGTCTGTGCAAATACTCAGAGTTAGAAAGCGCCGAACAACCGGGGATGACATGCCTAAGTGACTCACCGGGATGGCGACAAGCTCGACAGATGTCGACGGCGCCATCCTTTAGGATGTATCTCCGATAATTGTTGGTCTTAATAACCTGATCCTGTGTCGCACAGACAAAACCCTCGGTTTCCCCAAAGAGGTCACCGAAACGTAGCCAGTGAAGGGAGGCGACTGTGTCTACGAAAGGCTCATGTAGAGCCTTGTAGAACCTCCCGTGGAGCTCCTTCTCCTTCCATACGGCCTCCCGGTCGGAAATGCACTGTACTGCTGGGTCTTGCCATTGCTCGTTGGCTAAGGATAGAGGGGTCAGTCCCTGATCACAAGAAATAACGTCCCTATAGTATGGATCATCCGCTCTCGTCAGAAAGTAATTACGGAGGCTGCACACTTCGCGATTATGCATGGTAAGCGCGCTTAAAAAGCCGCGCCCACAATGCTTCCGCGGCAAGTACAGCCTCATTACTGACGATCTCGGATGATGCATGTGGGACGTCATTATAGTGCGGACTTTTCTGTCCAGAGCGTTTAGTTCGGTCTGAGTCCACCTAAGTATGCCAAAGGTATACATGAGAACAGGCATGACCCAACCGTTATGTGCGTGCGTCTTATTCACACCGGACAAAAGGCTTTTTTTTTTTTTTTTTTGCGGATGGAGAATCATCAAATGAAGCCTTTCGCTGTGGGTGGAGCGGAAGGGAGTGTCAGACTTTTACTGACTAAAAACCATCCGTGTTCCTTCAGTGCCCTTACGTTCCGGTAAAACACGGTATATTTCGAATTTCATTCAATTTGAACATCGCACTAAACAATCTAATTTAATATAATATGTATTACTTGTTAGATACGATGTGTTTTCATGCGATGGCCAAGTCAATCTTTTTATTTAACCGACTTGGTTTTACATGGATCTCACAGTTTTTTACGGTAGAAGAACTGAGTTGCGAAACTTGTTTTTTTTTATAAGCTTTCGTAATATGCAAATTGTAAGATTTATGATCAAAACTTGAAAAATGATGTGTGAAAAAAATTACCTATAACTTGCATACTGAAATCTGTCAAATAATAATGATCCAGCATTTCTTCTTGGAATTCATTGTCTGATTCGTCGTCGCAAGCTTTTTCTGTTGACGGCGTGGTCAAATTAATCCGGTCAACAGCTGAGCAGGTTAAAATAGATAACTGTTCAAGCGCATTACAGTTGCCACTGCCGAAATCCTTGAGTTCTATGTGAACTAATAGTTTTTTATATGCTGCTTTAAACTGCCTGGCTGTCGGATTGTTATTAGATCCACCATGAGATCTAATATTGCCAAAAAGTAATTCTAGATGGTCCTGGCTTGTTTTATAAAAAGGAAAAAAGACCAATTCTCCAGTTTGAACAAGAGTCTCATAAAAGTGTCTGACAGCTACAGCGCAGCCGATAAACCCTTTGAAACCTACTTTCCTTTGGCTTTCAATCAAAAGTGGGCCATTGTCACACTTTAAATTAGATATATAGCCAGCAACTTTATCTATATATTCTAAAATTTCTTTAGCATTATTTTCATTAATAGGTTTTTTATAACCGTGTTGTGACATGCTTTTTGAATTAAGTATATCAAAAAAATTATTTATTGTATTTAAGAAAACTGTTGTTGGTAAACTTTCACGAAAAATTGGTAAATTTAGTTCTTCTCTGCAAAAATCTATGGCATCACATACGCTTAAACTAAATAATTGGGTGGCAAGTTTAACTTTCATCTTTTGATTGTGATAGTGTATATGCCGATATCTCAACTTGTTCGCCAAATGAAATTTTTCCTTTTCTTGGAGCTTGTTTAGTTCCTCAAGGTAGGACCACTTTATTTTTTTGCCATTCTCGTCAACAAATACTTGGTAGACCTGTAATATTATCAAATATTACAGGTGTATATGACAAATTGCCGAAAACTGAAATCAATTTTCGTGAAACGTCACAATTTAAAAAACCGTAAAAACCATTGCATGATCATGATGCAATATGTGTCTCCAATCTAAAGAGATAAATTGTGTTGCGCAGATTCTTAATGAATTGGGATAAGGACAGGGAGAAGAAGATATATATCAATATTTCCACGCAAATCACGTCGTGAGCAAAAATTAGTTAAAATTAATTACATAAGTCATAGCAAACCTGAAATGCGTTGCGTATTAGCTTAACCATGTGAGATGGGTCTAAAAGTGCCATAATTGGATATTTTGTGACCGGATCTTCAAATTTCATTTTTCCCTCTTCAAAGTTACATCCCAGGTGTTTCAACATAGCTATGTTGGAGGCACAGCCATCAAAAGTTAGAGAAACAATTTTTACTCGCGTTTCATGTATTTTTCCAGACATTGTTTTACTAGTTCAGCTCGTTGAACTCCAGTCATTCCGTCAATCAAAAAATAACCCATAGGCACCTTAAAATTACAGTTAATGCCAGTCACTAAAAAAACTAATGCCTCCTTTGCTTCCGTTATATGGTCACCTTCTATTCCGCTACCGATCTCAACATGCCCGTGCAGTTTTACTCCGTCCCATTCTATACGACGTCTTATTGCCATTTCATCTATCATTAGACCAGCTATAATTGGATATTTTATTGAATTTGACTTTGCCTTAAGGGTTTTGAAGGATTCATCTGTGAAGCCTGGTTCTCCTTTTACACTTGTGTACCATTTTCGTAAAGTACGCACATGAGGCAAGATTGTTTTAAATGTATCTCTTACGTAATTATACCCTTTGGGCGAATAGTAATGTAAGGTAAGTGCAAATGTTCGGAGAGCTGGGGAATAACGCTGTTTTGTAATTCCACCGGACTTTTCTTTTGATATGTACCGACCAATCAATTCTTCCACCTACAAAATAAAATAAAAATTGTTTACCTAATTCATTCAAAAATATATTGAGATGTAAAAACCGAAGGAATCTCGTAACCTACATACAAAAAATTAAATAATAATAAAAATTCGGTTTAAAGAGTAACCTATTACCTGTAAATTTGTGCCTCTCAATGCACTTAACTGTTCTTCTTTCAGTGAAAACTTCTTTTCTAAGTCATTTATTATATCTGCCATTTTATGTATTTTTTTCTTTAATCGTCGATTTTGTGCTTGTATTCTTTTAATCCGATTTCTTTGGTGTTTTATGATATTTTCTTTAGAAGATATTATTCGTTTTAATCTTCTTTTTCTCGGCGTTGACGTATTGGAGTCAATGAAGGAAGGAACACTGGACTGAAGTTTTTTTACATAGTCTGTTGTTACCTGTATTGCTATACTAGAACACTCCTCCATTAATACTGAAGAATTAGTCGGTACTGAATCCATATCATTAATTGGTTGATTAACACTCTCTTCCATTAATACTGTTGAAGAGTTTAACGGCACTGGATCTACATCCCTTATTGTTTGACTAGCACTCTCTTCCATTACCGTTACCGTTGAAAAAGTTGTCAGTATTGGATCTACAATTTCCTAAAATAAAACAAGATAATAAGATCTACAGTGCTGTATATTAACCTAAAATAATAGTTTAACTACGAAAGATAAACGAAGTTTGTTGATTGGTAACAGCAATAAAAGTGAAACTCAGCAAAATAATGTGTTAGTTAGGTACCATCTATAACTAACCCGAACTTTAGCACGTTTGTTTATTATTTCATTGCCTATGTTCTTCTGAGTACGTTTTCGTGGTGACAAAGTAGAATCTTTTGTATCATTAACCTTAAAAATATCGTCAACAACATATGAACATATTTACAGTTATGAACAAAATATGTTTATAAAATAGTATAGACATACAATATACACAATTTGTACATGTGGTACTGCACCGTTTTTTAAATATCTCTTCTTAGAATTTTTGACCTCGAAGTCATCTTCATTAAAGTGTTGTGAACAAATGGTACTTGATTTAGTCGGAATCCAGTCTTTGTCTGATGGCGAATAGGTAGCGGGTAGGAGTCTCAGGCGAGATAACATCGAAGGCTAGTAGCTCCGAAAGATTGAACAATGCATTACCATATGGTTTGTTGTGTCAAATTTTTTACTGTATAATTAACAGCTGAATTCAGCGCTGTAGACGTTAAATGGAACGATATCATTTGGTGACTGTAGTCACCATGGACAGGTGAGGCAATATTTTTTTGGGGACTCTAGTCACTGTGGACGGTAGAGTAGTTCGAGTGGCGGGTGGAATGCTTACTGTTGAGGTCTCCAGCTATTATGACACTGGAGCTGAGATTTGAAAATTCTGCAATGTCAGTTTCAATTATACGTTTGATTGGCTGAAGATACGCCAAAACTACAGTGAGTGGCGAATAGCCTGATAGGGCTACTTTACATATAGAAACTTCTATATGAGTTAACGAGGGGTCGTCAATGGCTACGGAATGCAAGGACCTTTTGTAGTAGATTAAGGCCTTAACAGTGGTTGAATCTAGGATATTTAAGTAAATAAAATCTCAATAACTCTTCATTTAATCCACAAAGAAAAAAAACAGGGTAATAAAAGAAGATTTATTAAATGTTTTAATTGAACAAAATTGTATTTTTGTCAACCCCTTATTTGAAAAAAAATCCCCAAAGAGTACCTATCTTTGTCATATATTGCAAAATTTTACCAAAACCGCACAAGCTTTTTAAATAGTTCTTACACTAAAAAAAAGGTCTTAAAAATATTTTTTTTTTCATTGAGAGTTTTATTTTTATTACCCGTTTTATTAGAGAATATATCATTTTTCCCTGAAATTGAATATATTTACGCGAGCGCGCATGCTCCGTCGCCATGTAACCTCTGTCACAGTCCGTTTTCGGACATCGTCGAGGGTGGACCGAACGTCGGTGATGGAGCGACTTCTTTCAAATATATATTAGTTTTTTAAAAGTTTATACTCGATTATAAATATTTTTATGACTAGAAATTTAGTTAATATCTGTACACTGGTAACTGTAAATATTATTTTCTAAATAAATGAATTTTTACAGTGCCCAAAGAAGAAGAAATTTTCGCGGCGACGCTGATTAGTGAAATTAAAAAATGCATTTTTATATAATTTGGATGTGGAACGACGAACATGCTCTCGTTACTTAGATTTTGATAGTTTTTAATACCTATGTAATTTTATTGTTGCATATTTTTATTAATTAGTTGATACTGAATTTTATAATTATGTATTACACAATTACAATAAAACGCTGTTATGATGAGTATGACTTTATAAAATATTATTGGGGAGGGAAATAAAGATACAGATACTTACATTTAAGAACACTGTTATCAAATTAAATCAAACAATTTAAATAAATAAAGAATGGTGCTTACCTAAGTATAAATAACTATATAAAGACATTCTTGGGTTTATGGTTTTTTTTATGTTAGACAAACTATCATCTAAAAAATGTAAAAATTTTAAATTGGAGAGGGGTTTCTCTACGTGATAAAGTTAGAAATGAAGATATTTGCATTAGAACCAGAGTAACTGACATACGCCCAACGGAATATTACAGTGAAATGGCAATGGGCTGGCTATATAACATGGAAAACAGATAAAAAATAGAAAGAAAGGTCCTCGAGTGGCAACCTCGTACAGGTAAGCGAATTAGTGCTCAACCTTTATTCCTCTTCACGTATTCTCATACGCTTTTCTTCACACATACACACACACAGACACTCACGCGCACGCACGTACACACACACACACACACACACACACAAATAGGTCACAAATAATATTTACCTAGTACTATTAGGCAAGAGTGAATAGGTTTTTGTTAAGTCAGTGCAATTCACCATCTTAGACTACATAACCACTTACCGATGGGATTGTAGTTGCTTTACTACTTGCTGGGTAAAAATAGTAAAAAAATTTACTCTGTGAAAGTTTGCATTTAGATATAATTTTTCTAACCAACTATAAAAATATGATGAGAATATGTATATAAGTATGAAGGTTGCCTCACACGGGACAGTAATAATATAATATTATATCTTCCATTATCTACGCATGAAAACTTTTAAAATCTCTGAATCCCGAGGTATGTTCATATTAAGAGGCTGAATAGAGCCACATTGAAATGCATGGGAATCGTTTTGTAATTTCACGTCATTATCGAAAAAAAATGTACGTATTTCAGGTGGCGGTTTGCAAAACTTTACTAAAAATTCTTAAATTTTCAACGTCAATTTTTTCTTACGTGGTAGAGCCATGCTGCAGCTATATTAGTAGTAGGTATAGTTGTAGCACGAATGGGTTGGCTCGACCGGGGAAGAGCCCCGCTCTCACGGAATAACATGTAAAATAGCAGTTTAACCCTGCTGTGTTTCGTATGGTGAGTGTAGAGAACCGGAGAACCTTTTTACTGGAAACGAGGCATTACAACTTAGTCCTTACGGGTGACAACGTATCTACATTTTGATACGTAATCGAGAATAGATGTAGATGTGTATGGGCCGTAGTAACCACTTACCATCAGGTGGACTGTGTGCTCGTTTGTCACCCTTATTCTATTAAAAAAAAATTCTGAGAGTAAAATAATGTTAAGTATTGTAAGCACTCGTACAATTATGTCTCATGTTAATAAAGCTATTGGGCTATTTTGATTTGTAATAAAGTGATTTTACTTTATAGGTTAAATAATTTATTTACCTTTCTATATCAAGAACCGTTTTTCTGTCACTCCTATTGAATTTGACAGTGCTTGCTGAAATTTAGCGTCTTTAGATGGATCACAATCGCGCGCTGATCCGGCTGTTAGATATTGCAAAAATAATCGAAAATAGTTATTTTTACTTTCATGCCGAAGACTACCTAGTTTTATTTTATTAAGGTCAAATAATATTTATTAGGTTATAAAGCAAGTACTTTTGTAAATTTTGTGTATGTAAATGTAAATGTTTTCATTATTTTGTTATTCTATTGTTTACAGTTATTATCACGTCTTAGCTTTACACCAAGAATTACATTAGAAATTCTTGATGGGATGCGATGTAACGCGCATACATTATTTTCATCAAGAACTATAATATATATATTTGTTTTTTTTTACCAGTGGAGTTTCAACAAAATCTTAAAAAAGTTCAATGAATTTAAAAAATGCCAATAATTATATAATTTCAAGTCAGTGTTTTACATTAAAAGATCAGTTATAAAGAGCCAAAGTTATTATTTTCATTTTGATTAATTAAATTCGAGACTAAAATAAATATGAAAGGGCTTTTATCTGCAATAATAATTTTCATCAAAAATAACATCGACTTATAAATGTCATATACACGGT